GATCGAAATTAATTAAAAATATTAACTGAAAACAACTCATCCAGTGGATGATTGTAGGAGCGAGTTGAAAGGAGTGCACGTTGTATGTTTCAAAACTGGCCGTGGAGCAAGAAATGATGACAATCGGGTGAGTTCAATATGTCAGTACGAACGAAATTTTAACCATTTGAAAGGGTGATTCGTTATGTAGCTTGAGGAATTCGTACAACATGAAACGAAATTAAGCAGTGGTTACTGGGTTAGGCGACAATATAAAATGGCAAAATGTCTTTTCAAAAATTGTTACAAAATTTTTTTGGATGTTTTAGCCGAATGTAAAAAATTTATCAGCACTTTAAAAATAAAGTAACCGTATTTTGTTTGAGATTTGAGAAAAAAATTTTTTAAAAACAAAAGTTGAATAAAAAAATATAAAATGATTAGCTGAGCAACATTTTGCATGTAACCAAAAATAACAATTTCAATTAATTGCCGATAAGTTGTAAATTATTAAAAAAAAATGTCAATTAATATTAAATAAGGAAAATAATAAATAATTAAAAAAAATTTCAATTAATATTAAATACGGAAAACAATAAACAATTCAAAAAATTTTCGATTAATATTAAATACGAAAAATAATAATTAAATGGAAAATTATGTACGAGACATATCACTTTGTATAAGCCTTGCTGTTCTACCAGCGCACTTGAGTAACTTCAAAAAGATTGTGGTTAGTCGATTAGGTAGTCGTCACCAGCAGCATCACCATCATCCTCATAATCGTTCTCATCATCTCGACTCTGCAGGTGAGTACGTCTGTCTCTGGTGTACGACTCATCATCTCTATCGTCGTAGGACTTGCTGAGGCGCGAATTTGAACTGCTGCCCGAAACGTTCGATTTGCTCTGTTGGCCTTCGTTGGGGGAACACATTTTCAAGTTTTAAGTTATAAATATTTTTTGTTTTAATATCCGCAATCTTAAGGTTTACTGCTGTTCAAGTTTCCAACATAAAATTTCAAATGATCGTCTGGAAGATTAAAATTAAAAAAATAACAATCATTAACTAGCACAAAAATCAATGAATAAAATAATTAACTATAAGTTTGTAGTGGTCCTAGGTGAGGGTCGTATCTGGACAGTGGAGTTGTGGCGGTTGCTTTCTTCGGCAGGGGAGGGATCTTGCTCGGATCCTCCATCGATTTGAACCTCAGCATGGCCGACTTGACAGCTGTGGCATCTGGAAGTTCCTCCTCTTTTATCTCGGTAACATAACTGCCTCTGACCACATCCTCCCTGACGGCACTGGCGTCTTGCATGCTACCATCACTACCACAATCCTCCTCGTGACGTCCTCCAGATGAACTGGTCCGCGGTTTGGGGATTTCCGAAATGGGAGTCTTCTCGTTGATGACGTCACCGACGACAGGAAGATACTTGGGGAGATCCCCGTGCACGATGCAGGGACGGTTCAGCGGGACGGCCTCCTTCACTTGCCACTTGAAGGACTGCAAAGTGAGTGAGTCATATAAAGATTATTATTTATATTGATGTTATTGCTATTATTAATATTATCAAATTAAACGTGATTGAAAAAAGTTTTTTAAAAATATGCATTGATCAAATAATGCAAACAATAAAGCAAATAATGTTTAATGTTAAATTTTTTACAACTAAAATTTATTTAAAAAAATAAATAAATATTACGTAATTTATTTTATGATGACCATTAAATGAGTTTTAATAGGTTATAATTAGTTTATAAAGAAGATGAATAATTAAATAACGACGAATAACAGTTTTGAATAAAAAAATTTTGAATTATTGAAAATAAAAATAAATAAATTATAATAAAAAGCCAAATTTGTTAAATGAACTAAAAAACTGCATAAAAAACCATTGTATTTATTTTTTATTACGAAATACTGCCAACTACTTATTCTTACATTACCTTAAGCGTATTTACACTACATTAAATAAATTCCTGTATTTTCTCAATTCATTTAAAAAACTTATTAGTGGTTTACTGTTAATATTTTAAAACTCTCAACAAAAAAGCAACCTGATCAATGTGGTTTAATGTGTACATTTAATGTAATTTGTAGATAAAAAAAACTTTCATAAAAGAATAACTCGAATGAAATATCAAACTCTAAGAGCTCTTTTTGAAGGAACTACGTCGTGCCACGAAAGAGCTGGATAGGTGAGAAGTCTCCAGTAAAGATGATTGTTAAAAGATTAATCCACTCACAGTTAATGTTATTCAAAGAAGGGTCACTGAAAAAATTTTAAAATTGGAAAAAGATGAAGTGAAAAATTCACAAACTAATGTTTCCTAAGAATAATTAATTTAGCGATGTTTAATTTCGTTCGATAGTGAACTGGCACTGCGTATGTTCTACTTATAAATGGCATTAATTCAGTTCCCAGAAGATGCAATATTTTAGAGCATGTAGCTAGCGTCAGTGTTAACTTTGTTGGTTCATCCAATGAATAATTTGTTTGAAAATTAACGTCCCATAAGCTTTCCGCTCTCAGGTACCTAACACATCTCCCAAAATTATGAACGATCAGTTTAAAAAAAAAAATTACGAATAGGCAGACCTTTGTATTCCACCCCTAACCTGCACATCCAACGCAAATGATGAAAATGTTTATGCCCAATATCACGCACATGAAATATTTGAAGCCACCACACTCCAGTTCTGATTCTCTTTCATTTGTGTATTCGCAAGTAACGAAATGTATATAACCAAATAAATAATTAAATAAATAAGGAACCATTATAATAAAAAAATTAGAACTAAAAAATAAAGGTACACGTTGAAATGAGTTTCTAAAGGGGGTAATAAGTTTGAAAATGTATAATGATGGAGAACTAATTAACAGTGGAGTATGAATCAGATATATTTCATGGGCATAATAATGGTTAAAGAACCTAAATTCTAAAGTTGAATGAAATGGGTTAAAGTTTTCAAAACTAAACGAACAAAAGTGTTAGTTTCCTGAACGAGTTGAAGAAATAGATGAAATAAGCCTGTATAAAATGTTAAAATACTTTCTGCGATAGTAACGTGAAACAAAGTCTTGAATAAAGGAAAAACAAAAAAAATTATAAAAAACTTCTAAGAATAAAAATATTAATTGTGTACATCTCGAAAAGACAAAGTAAGGTACATAGAAGATGAGAACTTACTTTCAGGTTCTCCTCTATGGCCTTAGTGTTTCAGTTCACAATTTCATTTGTTGTAAGCATCAAAATAATTATTAAATTCAATATCATCATATCCTAAATTAATTAACTATATCAATGTAGATTCATCGTTCATGTTTCAAGTTAAATACTGGCGCATAGGAATTGATATTAAAGTTGAATTAACTGAATGATATGGATTGGTTTAGATTTTACTATTCAATTGCGAATGATTGAAATATGCTGTCAAAACAACAAAAACCTCACCTTTGGTTTGGGCACGAAGACAGCACTGGTGTTTTTATTTTGTTGCAAATCTCTGAACATATCAGTTCGTTGCTTGGCCATCATGTGAGGAGGCAGGCCATCACACCCGTCTCCATCAACGTCGCCCGAGTCGTCGTCGTCATCTCTTGAACGTCTGGAAGTTACTTTTGGCCGATCACTTTCGACCACTTTCAACCTTTCAGATATTTCCACGCGAGTTGACGATTGAGACCTTTTAGCGGCATTGGAAGCAGATGTGGCGGATGATCTGGAAGGTCCACGCGATCTCCTCGAAACTGTTGTCTCCTCTTCAATGTTTCGCCATCTTTCTAACAAACTACGCGCCGTTCCGGACGGAGGAAGCTCTTGTTTTTGGAACTCTGTGGTTGTCGCCAACGTAGAAATGTCGACCTGACGTGATTGGCTCGTTGTTGATGCATCAGCTGGAGTTGTTACGTTACTTCTTGGTTGCTGTGAGGCTGGCGTTGAAGATGAAGATGATGAAGTTTTTTTATTGCCTACAACATCGGGAGATTGATTGTAAGAATTTTTCTGAGACTCTCTGGATCTCGTTTTATTCAACTGCTGCTTGCTTTGCTGCTGTTGGGAGGAAGGTGATTGGCTTGCATCTTTGTTTTCGAACATGCTTCTCAAATTTTTTGCCAAGGATGGAGGTGGTAACTCTTCTTCTATGACGCAAACATTGCTGGAAACAACGATATCAGCTGGTCTGTTGAGTTGTGGGTCGTCATCAGCATCCTCCTTGTAGTGAACCGGGCCTTGAGATGCTGCTGCTGCTGAAGCTGTGTGCGTATGCTGTCGTTGATTCAGGCCGTCTTGAGACTTGGGAGTCGTTTCGAATTTGCTTCGAACGTTCTTAACTGGAATTCCTGAAAACTGGTTAACGTATGACGAGGGATAATTGATCTTTGAAGACAAATTTTTTCTGAGCTGTTTAAAAAAGTTAACATAATGATTTATACCTCTTCTTCATACTGGCTCCTGCAAATAAAAAACAAAATTTTGTCAAAATATCACATTGATAACGACAAGGTTAAATATTCTGATAAAATAAATAAAATAAAAAAATCAAATATAAAATCAAACCAACAAAAAAGTTCAATTCAAATTTAACAACTGGAAAATTCAAAGTAATATAATAATGAATAAACTCTTCACAATAACGTAAATACTTAACGGAAGTAATAAATTCATAAATTTAAAACGAGTAACATCAACATGAACGAAGACAATATTTAAAATTCATGCCACATCAGCAAATTTACGAATGACTCACCTCAACGCATCTTCATCATCAAACTCAGATGAACTGCGTTCTGAAAAAATTCGGCGTTATTCAAGAAAAGGTAGTATTATAAAAATTTTAGCGCCATTAAAATATGAAAAATTACTTTGACTGGATGGTTCGGGCGATTGAGTTATTGTAGAACCTGAAACAAAGCATCATCATTCAAAATTGTTTACAAAAGGATTTTAATAATAATAAATACACCACAATAATAAAACAACTTGAAGTAAATTGATATATCATAAGGAATCTACCAGAATCTGCAAGAAAGAAGGTAAAAAAACAATCCACCTTTCATCTTGATTGTCTTCATGAAATCAGTCTTGCAGTACATTTGCCCATCCATGGCTGAATAGTTACCCAAACTGTTTATGAATTGCCGTTACGTTATTACGACATCATCATTTCGTCACTTTCATTTATCATCATCATTATTAATCCATACAAATGCACAAATGAAAGCTAACTGATACCAGCTTCAAAGGCTTTTGGATTAGAAAAATGACACTATCATATGAAACTACCAAAAAATGGTTGTTGGACGGAGCGGAGCCAAACTAAAAACAACTGGAAATAAATACTATATAAAGGAGAAGTGCAGAGCTTGCATACAGAAAAACTTTTGCAAAATGTTTTGAAACTTGATAGAGAAGAATAAAAACAGGATGTTAAATTCACTCGTCTATCGCTTTCTGAATATTTTTTAATTTCTCGTGTATAAATTTTACAAAGATAAATAAAAATTTATTAAATTTTAAAAAATTTGGTTAACCCGACTTCATTTAATCAAAACTTTTTTGAATTTTCAAAAAAAAATTTAAATAACGCAATAATCATTTGTAATTAAAATACCATTATCATCGTAATCATCAAATCATTCTAATTATAATCCCAGTCATCAAAAAAACTCTCCAATTCATCAGCATCATCATCATCAGCAGCAGCAGTAGCAATCACCTGAGCATGCGTCCACAGACGACGCAACGGAAGCAGGCCTTGTGGTAGATGATGGTGTCGACAGTTATCTTCTCCATCTCGTAGACGCGCTTGTTGCACTGCACACACATGTTATCCATGCTGCTACTCTATAGAGGCGTTCCGAGTTTATGTGAGATGTCGATGATGATGTCACGATGATTATGATGTGATGGCGATATATATGATGGAGATATATATGGTATGGTGTATACGACGATGATGATACATACGGTGATTATATATATATATATTGATGTATTTGATGAATGCGATGATTATGATGATGAAATAACTTGTACTTTAAAGAATCAAACATTTCCAATATATAAAAATGAATACACAAAGCGATCATTGGAAAATTAGCAGAAATAGAATGAAAGCAAGAAACCAACGTAATTGAAAATCATAGCAGAAGCTTTCTCGGCAGCTTCCGAAGCTTCCCTGCCCTTGTGAGGTTGCTGTTGAGGCGACTTTGATTTTATAACAAAATCGTCTTCGACATTTCTCTCCATCTTTTTCAAACCAGCCAAACCTTTATCGGACTGCTGTTGCTTATTTTCTTGCAATTCCTCATCATCATCGCCGTTGTCACTTTCAATGATGAGGTTGCTGCTTGCGTTGTTGTAGCGGCTGTGGACACTGAACTTGCCACTGTCATCTGAGTTTGGTGGATTTTTATTCTCTAAATAGAAAACACTTTTTAAAAACCGGCAATAAAAAACCAACATCAACTATTCACTTTTATTCAAAAATCTAAACAAAACTAGATTGATTACAGCAGCATGTTCACATAAACATCAACAACTTAACCTGAATGGTCCATCTTTTTTTTGTTTCCGCTAATTTTATGAGTGGTAGCTGTGGTGGTAACTGTGACAGCAGCAGAGGCTTTAGTAGCACCTGTGCTGGTTGATGTCTGGTTGTTAGCAACAGCAGAAGTTGTTTTGTTAAAATCTTTAGTTTCTTCCTTCAAAAACAAGAATGAAGAAGATTATTTAAAATGTAAATAATATTTAAATGTCTAATTGTTTATAACAAACGAACGAAATATCTCTTTCATAGTGCTTAGAAATAAACTATTCGCATATGCAGTGAACAGCTGACTTACAATTGTACCTTCAATGTACATGTTGATATAATACGACACTTGACTTGAGCCTTTCAATGCTAGACAATAACGTTCAAACAAGCACACACGCACAGCGATATTATTATTAACTCCAATACAAATACAAATGAAAGTACGTAAGCCGACAGTTTCAAACTACTCACAAGGTAAGGCAACTGTTGCACACATGCATGCCAATGAAATCCCGCAAACAATAAACGAATTGAATTCAATTTAAATATTAATCAATTAAATCTCATCCAGTAAAACATTGCAGTTGCACGAGAACGAATGATAAAGGACGACAGGCGGTTGGCTGGTGTAAGAGAACTTTTGCAGAAAGCCGAATGCAAATCAGTTGTACATTAATACATGCGTGCTATATTGAATTTAAATTAACATGCCTTTATAAGCTGATTATGTCACGCAGTGAAACAATAAATTTCTATAATGAAGAAGTGAATAAACGAATGAATGAATGATTTAATTAATTATTTAATGAGAAAGCGAACAAATTAAGGAAGTTAATGTGTGAATGAATGAATGAACAAGCAAATAAATAAATTAGTCAATTACTGAGCGGACAAATAAATGAATAAAAGAACGAACGAATAACTAACTATATGTCAGAACGATTGACTGAATAAAAGAATCTGCAGAAGCAAGTTTGGACGTGCCAAGCGGCGTAGTTTAAGTTAGAGTAAGTCAGTCAGTCGATTGTACTAAAATGTTCTATAATGCATATTGCAATTATTTTCAACATTATTGCTATCACTATTACCACCAATCCTAAGCTAATAATAATAAATAAACAGTCCACATTAAACTCTCTTAGAAATTAATAATATTCACGTTTTTGTTTTGAATTATTTGAACAAAAACATATACTGAAATGATGATAATAATATATTTTATATATATTATGATATATAATAATATAATATATTTAATATATAATTTTGATATGATTGAAATATTGACAACGTTATTGAATATCAAATTATCGTGATCAACCATTTAGGGGTAAGTTTCTTGACAATACGCTTACTATAAAATCATTTAGTAGCAGTTACCAAAGATCACAAAGAATAACAACAAAAGGTAGAGGAGCAGCCGCGGTAGTAGCAGCATCAACTTCCAGGTAGTAGCGATAGCACGTCAAATGAGCGCTGCACCACAAAACGAGCAAGATATAAACAGTCTAAACAGAGGAAAGCAATTCGATTTTTGTCACTTTTGATATCAGCGGTTAGATGATGATAATAATTAGAGGGATCAAGAGATGAAGTAGGTGAGTTATTATGGAAAAAATATATTACATCCATGTAAGAACGTTCAACAACAACAATCCAATTACTTTTCCATCGCTGTGTAACTTTCCATAATCCCAATCTCAAATGCAACTCCCTAGCAAGCGAATAACACTCGAAATATCATCACTACATTTGAATAAGATCCTCGTACAAACCACATTAGTGGTTGATGATGGTGAAGACGATGAACTTGTTCAAATGTCAATTAATGATTTCATCAGAATCAGTTCAACAGATGACGGTACATTCTTAAAAGCAAATTCGACGAGTTGGTGAAGGACACGTAGGAGATTGAGTATTTGTGGCTCAAAGATAAGAGTTGAGTCATTGGTAGTAAGCATGTTTGTTTTGCCGATTCTTAAACTATTAAGTTATAATGATTGTTAATCATTGAAATTTTGTGTATATAAAGTAGTTCATTAGAAAAAGTTGAAAGCTTTAAAAAAAAGACAAGCGAGTAGATGACGAATTTATACAATAAACACTTTAACGGCGATGCAAATAAATTATGAGGCTAACATTCTTTCGTTAATGTTATGCATGCAATTTGCCTATGTATGTAAGTATGTATGTATTTATGTATGTTGGTGTGTGTGAGTGTGTGTGGGATGTATGAGTAACTAAATGATAGCTGATTGTTATTGAAATTGATTTTATTTGTTGGCTGGATGCTTTGAAGAATGATCGCTCATTGGCTGAAATGTTAGACGATTGAATAATTGATCAATTGAATATTAATTTATTTTTTAAAGTAATTTAATTATACGTTTGAATTATACATAGCCTATCAAACTATTCAAAGAATGACCACATCACATCACATAGTATTACATTCCATCACAAACAAGCAAATGCGTTGAACTAGCAACAAGCCCACCAACAACAATCAAATTCTATAATTGTAATTAAAACTAACACCTCGCACCTACCTTCACACAAACAAACAGACAGAAACAACCACACACAAACAAACACATTTAAACTTTATTTATGTGCAATCAAATACATACCGTAAACTAATATAGATACTTGAAGGCATAACAGAATTTGTAAAACATATCACATTTCTGATTCAGGTGTACTGAATTATTTAACGCCATTTTGGGCGTTACAGCAGCAACTTCTGAGGAGTGCAAGTTAACAAGCGCATGCTCTATCATTCTAAATTATTTATACGAATCATCCAAGAAGCGTTTAACATGTGATGTACGACTGATATAAAATGTGGTTGGTTGGTTGATTGATTTATTGGTTGGTTGGCTGATTGATTGTAAGGTTGGTTGGTTAGTTGGTTGATTGGCTGGTTGGTTGGTTAGTTGCCTGGTTGAGTGTTGATAGATTGCAGACTGGAGACTCCGTCGTAGCTTCCTGGTGGATGTCTTTCATCATCAGCAAATGAGTATTTTCTTCGTCATCATTTGACAGACACGCGCGCCATACAATGTGAACGTTTTAATTAGAATTAAAATTAATTTTATCTAATGGAGTCAAATAGCCCACACACACACACACACACACACACACACACACACACACACACACACACACACACACACACACACACACCACACACACTCTCTCTCTTTCTCACACACACACACGCACACATCATCATCACCATCATCACATCATCATCATCCTCAACAGGCATGTTGTGAACAACAGGCGCAGGCCTGCATTTCAATTCTCCACATGCAAAGAATTTAATCTGTTTGTTTATTCACCAGTTAAGTAGCTAATTATACAATCATCATCGTCATCGTCATTTTCATAATTTTTTCCACCATTCAACTTTAGCTCTTTAATTTAAAATTAGCATAAACGCGCACTAAAAGTTTTACCTGACGTCATCTTAATCATCATCATCATCATCACTGTCATCATCATCATCACTGTCATCATCATCACTGCCATCATCATCCTCACTGTTATCATCATCTTCATCATCCTTATCATCAACATCATCCTTATCAGAATCAAAATCGCCATCATCATCATCATCATCACCATAATAATAATAATAATAATAATAATAATAATAATAATAATAATAATAATAATAATAATAATCCTCATCATCAACATCATCATCATCAAAGGTAATAATTACCAGTAGATGCTAATTCGGCAAAGGCACTTCTCTTGTGGTTTTTACTTTTATTATCATTATTATCATAAAAATTATTATTATTATTACTATTATTATTAGTAGCAGTAGTAGTAGTAGTAGTAGTAGTAGTAGTAGTAGTAGTAGTAGTAGTAGTAGTAGTAGTAGTATCATGACCGTGGTCATCAATATTTTTGTCACTCCCATTCAAAATGTGGGCACAATGGAATCTCATTGGAGCGCCATCATTCAACTTGATTCGGGATGATAATGATGCTACTGTTGTTGTTGTTGTTCCTGAAGAAGAAGAAGAAGAAAAAGAAGAAGATGATGATGATGGTGTAAATGATGATGGTCCTTGATTAGTAGCACCAGATTTGAATGAAGAAGTTGATCCGACATGAATTGCAGTTGAATCACCTATCTTATCATCATTATCACTCTCGCCATTAGGCGTCACTACCATCGTCATCTTATCACCATCCTTCCAGAAATTATCATTTTCTTTTGCAGACCGCAATTTTCTACTTCCAACATCGTTATTATCATCCCCATCATCATGATTTTCTTTTCTATCACCATCATCAGTTATTTCATAACTTGCATTATAATTGCCATCGCTACGTGTGGCTCTATTAAACGATTCATTAAAATCACTGTCTACGTATCTTACGCCACCGTATTCAACATTATCATCATCACGGTCATCAACGCGTCTACTCATTTCATCATCATATTCCTCTTGAATCATCATCCTATAAGCTGAATCACAACCTGCATATTCGTCTATCTCACTATCACCATCACCATCATCGTTGTTTTCTTCAATTGTTGACATGACAGCTTGTGGCGATGAAGAAAATGATGCGAGTGAATGACGAGGAAGTGGTGCTGGTAACGATGACGATGATGCCGTCTTTTCCTCATTCTGAATTCTCAACAATTCACCGAGCACCTCATCCGCATTGAATGAGTCTTGCTCCGACTGTATGCCGTCATCATCATCATTACCATGACCATCGCCACAATCATCATCATCATGACAATCACCACCACCATCATCATCATTATCATCATGACCATGACGACGACGACGACGATGATGATGATCTTTAGATTCAGAAATATCAACAGAACCAACGAAAGCATTGCGAATGAATTTCTTCTTATTACTGTTAGAACCTTCAACACAATGACCGATTGTATCTTTATAAATAGGTACACTACTGCATGTGCTGAAGTCCTCCTTGCAATCTCTGTGTTGAAGTCTGTTGATGATAACATCCTTATCATACTTATCACAGCTTTGTGTTTTTAAAGTCATCTTATCAATCAAAGACTCTTGATTCACTTCTTTATCATCATCATCTTCTTCTTCTTCTTCATCCTTTTCTTCATTATCATCATCATCATCATCATCATCATCATCATCATCATCATCATCATCTTTGCCAAAAAAACCTTTCTTTTTAGCATCTTTGTTATCAACACAACAATCACCGCCACCAATGGAAACCTTTTCCTGGCTGTCGTTTTGATTGAGATGAGTAACTGGGCTGAGATGATGTTCATGATCATCTTTTCCATCATTTACTTTGACAGCGCAAGCAGTTTCCATCATTTCGCCATCATCATCTTCTTCCTCTTCCTCCTCCTCATCTTCTGCAGCTGAAAGTGCATGAACACTGTATTTAATATTGGATTTGGGCATGGTCTGAAGGTTATGTAGATGAAGTCTTTTAACACAATCATTAAGTTGACCGTGGTCAGCGTTGATATCAGTAGTTGCAGTAGTTGAATAACTGTTGTTGCTGCTGTTGTTAATTTTGTTTCTGTTACAGTTGTTGTTTGATGTGTGAAGATTCGTCACTGAACGTCCATCAACCTCGTTAGTGGGCTTGCTTCGAGACAACATTTCATCAGCACACCTCCCAACCTCCTAATCAAGTCAGTTGTTTAAATTCAAACAAGAATATATAGACGATGATATTTTTGAATCTTTTGCTCAAATAGTATTCAAATCTCCAATTGAACATCTAAATAAACGCTAATAAAAAGCAGCATAAATCTTGCACAAATGCATTCAAGTAATTCAAATTTAAATCTGCAAAAAAATGTAATGAACAGTTCCAACAAATGTTTGCAAATTATGCAAACAAAACAATCAAGTTGTCGATTCAAAACAACTTTCAAAGGTTGCTGTACAAATAGGCCTCGACCTGATGAAGTCAGGATTGTTCTTAGAAGCAGTCAACTACCTAACCAACCGCCTCATTACAGAGCACAATAAAAATTTATTCTGTTAGACGGGTATCACACAAACTTTTGCAGAAACATCCAACAATTTAATTTAAACATACAAAAATTTTAGTTCAAAATAATATTAAATGGTTAAATTTTTATATTGTATGTAAGTGAATAACAAATAATCAGCCATTAGATTAGAAATAAGAAAATTAAAAAATTAAAATATGATATGATGATGTGGGGATGGTTGTGAAAACAAACTTCATGAACGACCTCATTCAAATTCTTCTTGTCATCCAACTTCTCCTTACTGGTGGCATCATTTAATTGGATGGCCTTGACACTGTTCAGCCAATCATCATCAAGGTCATCAAGGTTGGAGGATAGAGCTTTTGTAGTAGTTGTGGTTGTTGTAGTTGTTATGGAAGTTGAGCCTGGTGAACTTTCATCACTAATGAATGTTGATGTCGTCTTTGTTGTTTGCAGGTGAGGAGGTTCAAAACCATCATTGAAAATATTGTTGGTGTTATTTTTAATTATAGATTTTGATTCTTTGGTGACAGTAGTACTTTGTTGACTGTTGCTGCCTTCAGAATAATCATATGGCTTGGCAGCAAATAAATCATCATCAAATTTTATTTTCTCATTGGCTTTACCATTTTGATTTTCAAAGTTCATGAAATCGTTTGAATCATTGCCAAAAGAATTAAATGCAATTTTTTGTTCATTTTCATTTTTCTTCAGTGATTCTCCATTTGGAAAAAAATTGCTTTCGGAACTGCCAACATTTCCCATTGCATGCTGCCAGTCATCAGCTCCAAAGGGGTCGTTGTCAAAAATGGATGAGGATAGATTGGCTGTTGCTTCATTGTGAGTGCTGGCTTTCTGCTAAAGAAGGTAAAAAATTAAAAAGATGGAGAGTGTTTAAAAATATGTTGAATATTTAAAAAAAATTAATTGAAAAATGTACAAACAGTGGAAGAAACAGAGAACGGATCAAAGTTATCAAAATCCAGAAGATTGTTTGAAAAACTGCCCTGCTCTGTCATTTTCAACAGTATACAAGCCCTGCTCCAAATGCCTTTCTGGTGTATCTGTTTTGAAATAATTTCAATTCGAAAATGGTGTGGTGTGATATGACAACTTCAAAAAATTTATGCATATTATATCATAAAACATATTATTACATATTATACATTATAAAAAATACTGTTGATGACTTTTAAATAAAATTATACACATAATTTAACTTATTTTTCAACTAAAATTTATTTGAAGCTTTCATGTTAACATATAATATCAAATAATATTATTACACCTCAACATATTTTTTTTTAATTTCACTTTGGAGTCAATTAATTTGATTATAAAAATTCAATCACAATTTGATCATTATTTAAAATTTTAATAATATTATTAGTAGTAGAAGTAGGGTCATTATCTTCAACTTCATATTTTTTTTTTTTGTTTAAGCATCTCAGAAGAAAAATTTAAATTCTCTATTTTGTAATATATAATAAATAATTATTTAATAATATTGAACTATCATTCATAACATTCACTAATTACCACATAATTACTAATTAGCATTTTTAATTTAATTTTTAATTTAATTAAAATATAAGATAATTTTCAAAAAATAATAATGATTACAAATTTATCATGAAAATAAAACAAGAAAAATGTTTACGATAAATTAATCTTTTGTGATGAAAAATGTTCCTTTGAAAAAAACCAACACCAATTAATTCTGAGGAGGAGAGCAATCAAAATAAATTGAAATCTACCTGTAACTCGGCTCACCTTTTGTTTGCAACCAAGCGTGTGCATTTGCAAACCTTATCGTGAGGCCAAATTTCGAAACTGGCTTTTTTGTTCTCCTTCATTTAAAGTTTTTATATAATTTACAAGTGAAATATGATTAATTTATTTTATACAATTGACAGAAATAAAAAAAATACAAAGAATTAGATGTAAGAACTATACACCACGGTATTATACACAGGTATTTTCTTCTCGGTATTGTTCTCAATCGTTTTCTTCCAATTCTTAACGAAAGCGCTTTATCTCAATTCCTATGATTTTCATATTAAGCAACGTTATAGGCCTATAATATATTTATTGATCCATTGACTCACTGATTCATTGATACGTTCGAACGTTCGTTCATTCGTTAATTCATTCGTTTGTTCGGTTGGTCGTTCATTGATTGATTGATTTATTTATTTATTTTGCTGGATATTTGTTGATCATACTGATCAATTATTCAAAACACTGAGGTACGAAATTTTATTAAATCTTTTAAATCGAAATTTACATTTGCATGTTCGAATTCAAACTATTCATCTATTGTTATCCATCTATATCTTTAAAAGCATTTACCGCAAATTTCGTTATTAACAACTGAATAATACTATATATTCATAATAATGTATTCAAATTAACAAAAACAACAACAGTAACAACAATGATAATAATAATAACAATGATACACAATTTTTTCGATGTTCATGACACATGATGATGCCACATCATTTATGAATTGGTACATTGCAATCAAACCACACAAATGAACATCTTGTGCAGAAAAGTAAAGCAACAATACGAAGCACAAAATAACATTAATTAGTAATTACATAAGTACACATTAAGGAAGTTGTTTCACGAGTACGTAAGAAGTCATAACTCCATAGAAGCACTGCAAGGCTGTAAGCACAGCTTGTTGAGGGTGTCTAAATACGCGTTAAACGAATGAACAATGCCAAAATAACTACGAATTTTATATAAATATAAAAATGTAATACATGCGATACAACATTTAAGAAAATGTTTACAAAGTTGAAGTTTGTAGAGTAATTAAATATCAATATTAATATACAGAACTAGTTCACTCCTCGCTCAAATATTGAAATTTTTATTCATTTATACTGATTTCAATTCCTAACGATTCACTTTGACTCAAAGCTCTCAAGTGGAAGATCTTGTTAAATAAAACGGCCAGTAGACGATGTTGAAAATAAAAAACAGAGATGGAAAAAAAATTCTTGAGATTAATTCGACGAAGACAGCGGGCTCATCATTGTAGTGCCCTTGCAGGTATTGTTTCACTTTGGTCCAGCCTGATCCAAAAAGATTGTCTTTTGTGCTTTTGGTCTGGAACATATCGGCCGGAGTTCTGCTGACATGCTCAATTCCATTGCTGAAACTTTTGTTTTTGATGATTGCATGGTCGCTTCCAGATTTTAAAACGTTCTTTGCCGATTGTTCCAACGTTGAATTTACATCTTTAACTGGTTCTACTGTGTTGCTAGACTGTTACAATTATTTTATATCCGTTTTATTAAATTTTTTATTCTAGATATTTTCAAATCATGAACATAACTTAATAAAAAAAAAAAGTGAATTGTATCAGTATTACACCTACCAGGATCTTCTTCTTCTTCCTGCTCAACGTGTTCACGATGCTGTACTCGATGAACGCAGCGAAGACGAAGACGAGACACGTAGCCATCCAGACATCAATGGCCTTCGTGAACGAGCCAGTTGGCGTGTTGCGCATCAAAGAGGAACTTTGTGTGGTCACCTTGTAGTTGGGTTGCTCAGTCAGTTACACGTTAACATTCTCATCGCTCAAGTTTTTGTAGTTTTCAGTTAAAAATTAATAAAAATATTGTGCTTCTTAAGAGTGGTTAAAGTCATGCAGCGAAAATTCATGAATGAAATGCCCGAAAGCAAATTTGAAATCATTAAAAATTTTTTAATTAACTGGCTATAAATAAAGTTTTTATTTATTTTGTATTAAAAAATTTTAAAAAATGTTTTCAATTATCAAATTAAAATAAGCCCAGCAACCAGCAAGCAACACACGAACCGTTAAGATGGTGAGTATGCTGAGGGAGGTTCTGGCGGGGGTGGACTCGGGATCGATCCAGAAGGAGAGCCATGACAGGAGGACCACCAGGAAACTCGGCAGGTAGGTGGTCAGCATGTAAGCTCTCAAACGACGATTCAAATGAAAGTTGGCTTTTAAACATGGGAACGATCCTGCAATATTTTATTAATTGTTTGTATTGTTGTTTCTAATATTCAGCTAAGTTCACAATCAATAACTTTAACTACTGAAAAAAGTTTACAATTAAAATGAAATTATAAATTAAACGGCTACCAAAAATTGCTTTAGTAGAAAATCGTAAATTAATTAAATAATTGAAAATCTGTAATTAATTAAACAGCAAATATTTTCTGGCCGGCGTTAAAATATTAAATATTTAATATGCATTGCATGACTGGTAGAAGGTGACCTGTGCTGTTGAAGTTGGTGCTGCAAACGATGCTGGTCACTTTTACGATGTTATATTCTGGCAGACTGACCGTCTCAGGCATCTCGACTGCTGACTGGTTGATGCGCCAGTTGAAGATTAAATCATCAGTCGTATAGGCATCTAGGATTTTGCGTGTTCGTGTGCATATTGAACTTAGCATGCATGTGTTTTGCGTGTATGTTTGATCGAACACGTTGGTGGGCGCGAGTACTTGCGAGGGTGTGTGAGTGTTTGTGTGCGTGAGTGTGTGGTCTATAAGTTTGCAAGCTTACATTTGTGCTCCAAACATCTGTTTGCTTTCAAATATCATATTGATTTATTTCAACAAACTATTCATAGTCCATTTATAATTTCGAATATTCGTAAAAAATCTTATTTTATTTGCTCATCCTATTTTCAACTTTCAAAACCCGTTTAATTATTTGCGATAATTAAATAAAATAAACCAACAGCTTCCAAACTCAATGAAACACGTTTGGTTGTCCATAGGGTACCTATCCAGCACCATGTTACAAACTAATGTCATTGACAATCTCTGGCTGTACAGCACCGTGCCATCTGGTGATAATCTAGAACGTTTAAGTTTATATTCAAACCGTAATATTTTTTATTTTAAATTTCTTCTAAAACATGAACTGATCAATGACATTAACAACCCATAGTTAACTAACTTGGAAGCTTATCTACTTTTGAGCATGTAAGTTCAAGAAACTACAACAATTAGAATTGTAATGAAATGTAAACAACAGTTGTAGAACACGAACGAATCTATCCAATAAGATAAGAGCAATGTTATTTTTCATCAATGTATGAATGAATGCTCGGCCGGCAAGAAATATATTGCTCGGCAGGGTAGGCAAGTGCATTTCCTTTAGAAACATTTGTTCCATTGTGGTGGGTGACAACGTGTTGGCAGCGGTCATGCACCCACAATCTAGTGAAATGATATTGATTTTGTCTCATGGCGTCGGTGGTACGCACTTGATCAAGAACATACATGAGTGATAATGGTCAGGGGCGGTCTGGAGAGCCTTGTCGTGAGCAGGATTTTTATAAGAAGTTAAAGTTTTTCCACTGAAAAAATTAGTTTTATGTAGAAACCCAACCAAAAATTAACGTGATAAGCTAAAAAAGAAACGATACAAAGGATTAAAGAAAATCAAAATGGGAAAAATTGTTAGTCATAAAAATCAGACTAATGCTATCCTCTCCAAAATAATGCAAGCCTTTTTACATAACGCAAATTTTCACAAACAGCTCCGGATAAAGCTAGAGCGTGCGGAAATTCAGAAATTACTAACAAATAACATGATAAATAAATTACCAACCTGATGAGTGAATAAGTGAATAAATTAACAACCTGATGAGTGAATAAGTGAATAAATTAACAACCTGATGAGTCTGTTTGGAAGCGTGATGGCGTGCAGACGACCAGACTTCAGGTTCCTAATGAAGAGGTCAGGTATCCAGAGTCGATCGAATTGGTTGTAGTTCAGTGTTATGCTGGTTTCAGCGGCAATTCATCATGGAAATGATAACATTACAACGTGGGATTATAAAAATAATAGCACCATGAAATTAAAAATTATATAGTTGTTCTAAATTTAAACAGTTCATAAATGTAAGGAAAATGTTTTAATAGTTCAATAGTTTTCTAATTTTTATTATTCAGTTGTTTATATGATGTGAGTAAACATTAGTGATTAATAGCGTGATAAAGACAACTAAACAGTGCATATATCTTTAACATTTTCAATGAAATCATAAGTTTTCGATAAAGCAATCGATTCACAATCTGGTGGAATTATGTTTTATATAAAGTCTTGCTGCATCGAATCCACTGCTCGGACCAATTGCTCCAAGAACAGACGTCTGCTTTCTAAACAAGACGGCAATATTTGAGTAAACTCTAACTGTTCGCTTGCATTACTTTCCAAAAATATTTATTAAAAATTGTCGGCAACAGTAATAAGCAGAGTTTTGCAATCGTAGGTGGGACTGCCCGCTCGTAGCATGCTTGTAACAATAGTTAGGAGGTCTTTGGGCCGGTAGCTCTTTTTCAACAAACTCTCAAGTTTAAACTTTCTTCCATAGAGTCGCAGTCTACGCAAAAGTAAATTCTGAAATGTTTGTAAGAAAGTCATAATGTCATTTTATGAATGAAAAAACAAAACAAAATGTCCTGTGAGCCTGAAAAAATCATTTGGTTTTTTAAAAAATCAAAACCCATTCAGAAAAAATGGTTGCCATCTTTTAATATTCAATTTAAGTTTGTAAATTTAATTTATTGTAGCAGAATTCATGAGAAATAAAATGAAATGCGGAATAGGACCAGCAAAAAACGTTGTAAACAGACAGGCGACGCATGCGGAATGGGCCCTGAATGTCGAGAACCAAACTAAAGATATTCTACGCTCATATCTTTCTCAGGTGTTGCGCAAACATAAAAACTCTCGATGTGTCGGTTGGTCGTTATTGTGGCGGCGACACAATCTGCACATGCGCGCGTGTACAGATCTTGTGAGGAATGTTTGAATAATCCTCCTCTTTCAATTGATCTATTAACTCAGCGGTTCGATGACTCGCTTCAGCCCAATAAATTTCATCTATTTATTCAACTTTTATTTACATTTGATAGCAATTGTTTGCGTATGATAATCTGTACTAATGTATGCATATTATTATATACGAACCTTTTGTTGTAGTCTTTATATGCCAGGCGCGAATCAGTCCAGACTTGCCGCAAATAGCAGGTCATCGAAAATTCCTGTTTTTCGTTTATTGCGGAATTAAAATTTTATGTGAGGCAAGTTTGTTAATACGTCACGCGAAAATGCTTATCTCAAACAAGACCGAATATTTCACAGCAGTTACAAAAGAGACTGCCTATCAAAATATTTAAATAGCATGCACGACATGAAAAAGATACAGACAAAGAAGCAAATGAAAAGAACAAACAGCCGCAGCAGACAACAGCAGCAGCAACAAATATGAATGTTCCGACAAATAAACAACCTCAAATATGCTTGAAATTACTCATATAAACAGAAAGAATAGATAAAAAAGCATGTAAGTGTGTCAGAAACAACAAAGGTGACACGATCAATGAGATCAATTGCAGTATTTTCATCTTCATCATCATCACCATCGTTATTAATGTCATCTTCATTATTGCCGACATCATCTTCATCACAAACATCATCTTCATCACAAACATCATCTTCATCACAAACATCATCTTCGTCACAAACATCATCTTCGTCACAAACATCATCTTCATCACAAACATCATCTTCATCACAAACATCATCTTCATCACAAACATCATCTTCATCACAAACATCATCTTCATCACAAACATCATCTTCATCACAAACATCATCTTCTTCATCATTGCCATCACTCTTCATATGTATCATCATTTTTGTCGTCATTCTCTCTAGCTTTATCATCTTCAACCATCGTTCTATTCATCATATTCATCGTCATCTTTTTCACCAACTTCTTCCTTATCTTCATCTTCACCATTCACATCATCGACTTCATCATCTTCTTCATTACAAACATCATCCTCTTCATTACTCTTATTATAATTTCCCACATCATCATTGAGAACAAAACTTGTCATATCATACCAATGAATGAATACACGAACTCTTATAACGCAGGCCTTCGCAAGGGCGAAATGGCATTGTACCCTGATACACTAACTACAGTAACGTGTAGGCTACTTACATTGTCCTGCAGTCTCCATTAATTACATGCACGTCATCAAAATTTTCATAAATGAGGTCATCTCTAAAGAATTCATCCATTTAAGTAATTACATTGACTTTTCCACTTACCATTCGTCAAGGACAGTGTCGTCATAATCACTCTCATCAATCATCGAATGTACTTCGGTACTGGAAGGCAGTTGATGCGCCATTAAACTCCATCATTAATATCAGCATCATCATTTTTATCGTCATCGTCATAATTAGATAACCAGTACTAATCTAGAGTATCAACATCAATTTCATTCTCACATCATCACCACCTTCATCAACATCACATTATCATTATCATCATTTTGATCCATAACGACATCAAAAAGAACATTAATGATTGCGCTGCCGATAGATACATCACGCGAAGGTATAGAGAAAAAAAAGTTAATGTAATTGATGTAGGAGGATGACAATTGAGCGTTAATAATAATTTGCCTGCTACAGAAGTGCGCGGTGATGGCGCGCAACTTTTAATTCCTAATTGATACAAACATCCTCATCTAATTCGGCGTCTTTGTTGGAAAACCAGAAATAAAATGTTTTTCTAATGTTCGTTGCATAATAAACAAGAATTAGAAGTTCATAAACTACTTGTAAATCTTTAGTATGATGTGTGTCAGTATGAGTCTGCGAATATATGCATACAATGTATATACAGTGTACGCATACATTGGATGCATACAATGTATATAAATTATATTCATATATTGAGTGTACAAAGGTACAGTGGCGTAGAGAGGGGTGGACAGATTCGGCAGTTGCCCGGCGGGGCCAGAAGACGAGTTTCCAATTACTTAATTATATGAAAAATACTACAAGAATTTTTAAATAACAATACACATTTAGAAAACATAAAAGGGACAATTTTATTCTCATTATGATTATCTATTCGTAAATCACGCACATAATATAAATTAATTAAATTAATAAAAATTTAGTTAAAATGAAATAGTGTCTTTGAAAACTTAATGTTTAAAAAAATGAAACTATAGAAATTAGTGCTTTTTATACATGGCTGATAAAACAGATATAGATGTTTAAAATTAAATGAAAATCAGCAAGAAAAATATTTGCTCTTTATTAAGCAGCTATGACATGCGCGGAACTGCTTGCACAAATTTTAAGGCTTGTAAATTTGTTTTTCATGACTTAAAAAATGTCTAACATATGAGTTACAGTCAGGGAGTGCTGATGAGGAGTCTAGCTAGGACGGACGCATTTCACATTTCCTACGCCATTGACTTGTTGCCAAAAGTACGTGAGAATGTTCAGCGGTGAGAATTTGTCAACCCGCTAGTGCAGGTTCAATCGAGCACATAATGGACACCACCTCTCACCCCAACCAAGTATGCATGCATCATTGCGGACACCTAACTCGTTCTTCTAAGCTGGATACGTTTCGTCCCATCATGAGATTTATCAGTTGGTCTAATTTACTGCAAGTTGGTGTTTTAACTCGCACTACTGATCAGCTTCACGGAGGGACTTAACACGTCCAACCTAGAACGAGTTAGGTGTTCACAGTGATGCACCTTTGGTCGTGCTGAGAGATGGTATACATTATGTAGGTACTCGTTCTGGTCAACCGTAACTGCAGTACCTGGTTGATAAATTCTCACCATACATATATATATATATATATGTATATATATATATATATATGTGTGTGTGTGTGTGTGCTGTTGTGTGTGTGTGTGTGTGTGTGTGTGTGTGTGCTGTTTATGTATGTGTTTGCGTAAACAAGTACGTAGGTGTTTGTACGATGTTTGTGCGTCTTCAAATGAGATTCCTAATACAATTAGATTTTTCCGTAGGATTTGAGCTGAAATAAATTATTGTTTAGTGTTTCAGACATTTTATGGCGTTTGCAAATCTCGTTGGTTTGTTATCGTTGTTTGCAGTTGTTTTGTTTGTTGCTCATTTTGTTGTTTGTACTCTTCATCTTGTTGGTCATATTTTTACTGTTGTGATGCTTTTCTAATGATTCCAGTTGCGTTATTTTGTGAATATTTATTTAAGAGCTGTTTTATGGGAGCTTTGGCATCAAGTTTGATCTTATTGTAACAATTATGTTAAAATGTTGTTGTTGATGATGATTATGATGATCATGGGAAGAGCAAAAATATCGCTGACGGTAATTATGGAATACAAATAAAATTTCAATATATGATACAATGAGTAATTTTGAAACAAAAATTTTTAAATTGTGCAAACAACATACAAGCAAAATTTATACACAGTAATATGAATATATAATTCAATTGAAACGGTTCGAGCAAAAATTTAACAATAAAACAATGAAATGAAATCTGTGGCGAAATCTTATTCAAAATAACTGCCATTATTTAAAAAATATCAATAAAACGATAAATAATTTGTTGTTAATAAAATGAGAAAATGATTAGTAAAGTGAAGCGTTTATGAGATGAGGGGTCATCTTAACGTTGGAGAATTCATAGCAAACTTGCTACATACATTCCGTCCAATGTCCATTCAGCTTACTAGTCTGTAATAAGTTTATTTCAGTGAATGTTTGTCCTATTAGTTCAAATTTCTTTTAAAAATTTCAAAGTGGACTCTGAAAGGAAGATGGAAGAAGCACTTTTAGAAACAAATTTTATTTCTTGTAGGATGGAATGACCCCTCGTTTAATCTGAAAGAAGCGTCTGGAAACATAACAATATTTTAGAGCGAAGTGCAGAAGCTATTGAAAAGTGCACCGGTTAAAATTAAGTAATTAAGTTGAAGCCAAGCCTTAGTTGTGAAATGAGATGTTGAAGTTGCGCTGGTGTCATTTCTGTTGAACGTGTTTTTGTTTTTCAAAGTTTTTAATGAACATGTAAATGATTGTAAATAATATCTTAATTGGTGTGCGTGATAATGTCAATGCTGCTGTGTCGTTAAACTGTTTTGTTGTTGACAGTTTGTTAGGCAGCGTTAAATGGGACCAACCATTATTCATTGAAGAATTTTCCTAGTTCGTTAACATTCGTCTAATTTAAAATGTTATAATTTGGAATTTAATGAAATATCAACTTAGCTACAGAGTAGCATAATTCATTTGAAATTTATGTCTAAAACAATTTTCACTCCCAAAAACCAGCATAAATTAGTTAGAAAAGTTGAATTAATTTACTCCAATGTCTGTCATGCTCAGTTGATAATAAAATGTTACTCGAACATCAAATAAATATTTTTTCATTCAACGTAAAAATATACAAATTTCAACAAAAACAAAAACTGAAACTTTTCAAACGCTGGAAAGTGATGAATTGAAATAAGTCAGCAATATAGGGTCTTGAGTTCCTTACTCGTTGGTGTCGAGAAAGGGGCTAGTTATGGTTTCAAACATACATATGGTTTCAGACATAAGTTTTTGAGCTATTTTGATTTAAAATTAATAATACTCCAAACCAAGAAAACAATAAGCAGAAAATATGAACGCCCAATGCTTTGTAAAGCAGGAGTTGTCTAAGAAGTGCATAGAAGCAGCAAAGTTGCGACTTACGTCGTTACAAACTATCAATATGGCATGGTCAGGTTGTCACACGCCCGCCCGCCCGCACACAAGCACACACATAACCAACTTATACAAAATATTAACACATCCTTAGTTAAATTGTTTGGTAAAAATTGCCAAGTTCACATCAGCGAATGATTAATCTTCTTCAGTTTGTTCAACTGGTGTTAAGCTGTGTAAAGCTGTTAGTGTCCAACAAGGTCAACCAAACAATTGCGGATATTAATTTTAAAAATAAATAAAAAGAAAATTCATCTAAAAATTGTATTAAAAATGTATAAACTTAACCACTTTGAAGTTTTTGAATATCTTAAGAATTTCGGGAATGCCTTGAGAAATGCGTGTAACTACCGATCTTCAAATGCATCCTGGTTGGTCCCCTCAAAAACATAAATAATGTTATAATGCGTGCGACAAGTAACATATCGCAGATGCATTGGAACATTCATGTTTTATTGTAAGCCACCACTAATTCATTATTACAAACAATCTTGCAGAAGTTAACTTCTAATGTTAGTAATGTTGTTGCTGCTGCTACTATAAATATTGTCAGTGGCGGATCCAGAGATGCATTTCTCCCACAACAAATCATTAAAGGGAAAAATGTTGAAGATTTCTTGTAAAATATAGTAATAAAATAAACAAAAAGTCAGTTATTAACTTGAGAACTTTGAAAATCATCTTTCCCACTGAAATTATCAAAAAAAAGTCAGAAGCCTTAGTTTGAATTTTTAAATCGTTTCTACGCCGCGAACTTCAAGATCGGCCACTGAATATTTGTACCACCATTTTTACTCTCACTATGGCACTAGTGTTATCATGGATTGATTGTTATTGCCATCTTGGTCATTTATTGTTACCATAAGGTATAAACGGTCGTCAAAAGGGCGGTAATAATAATAGCAACAACAACAATCATAATAGTAATAATAATAACAACGACAATCATGATAGTAATAATAACAATAACAATAGTGTTGTCATTATTATTCAAAAAGATTATTATTACCATTGTTAGTTATATATTTAGCACGAGATACAGTGTAAAACGAATATTAGAGCTAAAATAATAACAATCGTCAGTTGTTTATTAAATTCATTAAGATTACATTAAACTGAGACTCAACATTATCCTTAGGAGAATCATCTTTTTCTTCATCGTCATCTTCATTCTTTGAACCCTTGGACGATTTCTCGTTCAACTGGAGCAGTGGCAGTGGTAGTGGGAAGGGGAGGGTCACGACGTCAGCAGGTACCGCACAGGTGCAGGTGTGTGGTTGATGGTTCACGCGTGTGTTAAATAATTTTTCATTATACACAGACATATATTTAGTTATA